TCTAATGTCCCAGGATCAGGGTATCGCACTTGAAAAGTCATCCATTTTTCGTTACAAATATCTGATGTTTCGTCTATAAATATTGAAAATTTTGTGTTCCGAATGTTATCTACGACACGTTCCGTTTCAACTTTGGCTAAAACGTTTGTAATAATATTTGTACATTTTGTACGACCCATTTTCATACTTCGTAATACATGAGAATCTTTCCCCACCTGTTGAAAAAAGCTAAGAATCCTGTTTGCACTTTGATGAGGAATATTCATTTCAGCAATTAATGCGGCATATCTGATTTCCGCTTCTTTTATACGTTCATCAAATGGTAAAAGCAATTCATCGTTACTTTCCATATTCCAATCTTCATTTGATTGTCTTATTTCACTACTTTCAAATTTATCTATATGTGCTTTTGTTTCGGCGTGACGATAGATTTGCTGTAATCCACAACAAGCAAAAGACTTATCGCAAATTATACAGTAACATAAACTGTCATCACCTGGCATTTCGCGTAACCAATGTTTAAATTCCTCAATATGTAACCATTTTAATTGAAATACGCGTTTAGATTTTTTTACTGAATTATCTTCATGAAGTTCATACTTCTGAACATTTACCCAAACAATAAATATTTAACCTTACTTTGATTATCCCAGTGATTCCCACACTCAGATCAAAACGAAAACACATCAATCGAAACGAAATCCAAGAACCAAGAAATCACGAGAAATTTTTTAAATCACTCGAAATTCACGCAGAACTTCACTCACAAGAACTTCACAAGGGGTGCTTTCCAGCAAGAGAGATTTGGTGTTACACAGTGTGACACAGAGAGACACTGTGAAACACAGTTACGTAGTCTAATTGGAACACAAGTTACCAAACACGGTCACTAGAGAGCGTAAAAACTATGACGTAGTTGGAAGAAACAAGTAAAGAAGAGAAAGGAGCCTAATGTTCTGTGAGGCCATCACGCGTATAATCTGGAGACACTTGTCTTTGCGCTAAGCCATTATTATTTCACAGAAAACGATAGTGTTATTTTCGATTATGGTAAGTTTTAATCATGTATCTCATTCTCTTTGTTATCATCCATAGAGGAGGTCATCGTTGTTAATGTATTTTCTGAAGAGTTATCGCTACATACTGAAATAAATTATATCTAAGACTAGTTATTTCATGTTTAAATAAGAGAGTTTTTAATAAAGACTGTTTTTTATGTTTTCATCGTATTTATACAATAAATATTTATGTAACAAATTTTTTCGAATT